ACCTATCCCCTTTCACTGTCATTGTTGTTATTGTTGTTGCGTTGGCACCATGCTTGTTTTCAAGCCGGTGGTAACTATAAATATAAATAATTTTCTACGTAGATGCCCGCTGTAAATCGTGGATAAACATGGTCTTTGGTTTCGAATGATTCACTTGCCGTCATACTTATTCGACACATATTTCATTATCGTTCTACCCGGAGTTTCCGCAGTCTACGCGTAACACATCAGTTTAACTGCACACATGGTGGTTCTCTAACCAAACTGTCATCGAGTAAACAGCTTGATAAATAATGAAACTCAGTACAAAATATATTGCGAACACTCTGATTATGCTAACATTTAAAAAGACAGGGTAACAGTTTTTCACCCCTTACTGTTACAGTCATCTGGAAATTGCGCACACTAAGACCATATTTTCTCCGAAAAGTTCTGTTTCATTTTGCTTTTGGGTTGTTTGTAACACGTAATAAGTAATAAGTTTTAGCCATTCTATGGTGTGTTCACCAGCATGACACGTCTGTTGACCTTAGACCTGTCAGTAAGTACCAGTGTTCGATGTTTACTACTCAGGGTAGCCTACTCAATTGGATTAACGTATGTGTGTGTGGGGTAGGCCGTACCGTTCGGTTTTTATAAGACCAATTAAAATGAGTCAGATCCAAACAGACTCAGAGCAGTTGATCGTTCCCTCCGAATCAAAACAGATAATTTATCCTCATGATACTATTGTGGACCGGGTTCCTGATTCTCCTATTCACATCACAAACTTATCTGTGTGCCGGTGCAGTGACTACTGCTCAAAAAACACTGTTGCTTTCTATGCACAATGATGCACGACAGCAATTGCTCGACTGTAAAATGATCGGACAACCGGTGCCTGCTACAATGCCAATGTTGGTAGGTGCTTTTTATCCGGTAAAATGCATGACTAAAAATTCTATTTCCACCGTTGTATCATATGGCTACATATGGTGAATGTTTGGATTAGCCCATTCGGTTTTTCACAGGCACCAGGCACTGTTGGTGATTTTGGTTGTGGGTTTCACTCCTTGGGAGATCGTTAATTCCCCACTGTTTACATGCATTTAAATGCGATGGAAATTTTTGTGACGACCAACAAAGAGCACGGGGCAGCTGTTTTGGACTGATCAGCAGTGCGCACGTTTTGTGTCCCTGTCAGGACTCGAACCGTTATTCTTCGGGCTGGGACTTCAAACCCGTACCCTTGAGCTACACGGTCGACAATTATCACCTTGTGCGAATGTCTCAATCAATTTAGATGGTAAATGTTTGGATTAGTCCATTCAGTTTTTCACAGGCAGGGACAAGGTCAAAAAAGTACGCACCGCTGGCGAGTCCCAAACAGGACGAAGCAGCTGTCCAGTGCTCTTGTTGGTTATCCTAAACATTTCCATCATATGACTAGATATGTTTATATCGATGAACCGAGCAGTAAACAGATGGGATTTACTCAATGAAACTAAGCATGATTTAATCGCGTTCAGTTTTTGCTTGAGAATACAGAATGGTTATTTGATGGAGCAGGTTTATTGTTTGTTGATGCATGAAGACAGATTTAATGCTGATGAGCAGGATCTAATGTAAAGTTGGTGCGGTATGGTTATTGAATGTGTGTTGGAAAACGATGTGTCAACCCCCGTGGTCAGGGTCCCATTAGTGATTATTCTAAGTCGGGCTGTTTTTCATACTGGTTGAGATGCTTTCAGCTGCGACACGTAACCTCTCATCCCCTAGTTGTTTGGTGTGAGGCAGCTAACTGGCCAGGATCGCCTTGAATGTATGAGCTCTCACTATCCACCCTAATGTCACTACCGGCGAATGCTTTCATTACTAACATTGTTCCGTACCAAAACGGTGTCATAATGCAGATATGTCCAGCAGTGCTCTGCTGTTCCCGTTTACTGCCATCTCATCTTGTGTCTAGGCCAAGATTTAGGTCCATTTTTACTCTTTCCTTTTTCTACCTCGTTGCAAGTGTGTCTTGTGAAAATGTCAACAATATTGTGTGTGCATTAGGCATTCAATGGCAGAACCATGGACGGTGGATGATAATTAATCGAGTACACTTGTGTTCTCTCATCCTAATCTAAATGGGACTAATGTAT